TACCTCTGGCAAACCTGATCTGGGCCACCAAAGGGCCGTCATTCTTTGCGGTATGTGGGCCATGTGTAAGTTGTGTGCAGCCACGGGCCAGTTGTAGACACACTGCTGGCCCAGAACAGTTTCAGCTCTGGCCCCAGATGTCAGCCGAATGCGTACCTTAATCAAGCCATATAAATAACAACATGTGCCAGAACATGCAGAACAGTGCAAAAGTAACATAACTCTGTTCAGACAGTGAATGGACTGATTCTTGCATAGCACTTTTCTCATGTCCTGGATTACTCAAAGTGCTTTATACAACATGCCACATTTACACACTTTCTCTAAACTCAGTGCTTCCTAACTACATTCACACTCTTGACATGCAGACTGGAGGAGCCAGGGAACCACTAACCTTTCGATCAGTAGGTGGTAAACATGAGTAAACCGTCACTAGGTTTTGGATAAAGTGTACACTCAATAACCTGTCAAACCTACATTTGAAATGTTGGCTGCCATAGCAGTATAGTATTGCAACATGGCATTTGGGTCTTTTAACTAAAATAGGAAAACAGGAACATAAATAGTGCCATCATTGCCAGACCTGGCCCACATCTGGTTGACATACACTCTGCCATGACACCGGTCAGCCAGAAGTGCCAGCTTGATGCCAGATCCGGGCCAGACCTGTTTTCTATGGGCCTTGGTCACATAAACCAAACCACAATCGAGCCAGATATGGCATGCCATCACATAGGAAGTACCATCTATACCAGGCCTGGCCCATATCTGGATGACATACGTCATATCATGCCAGAAGTCAGCCAGCAGTGCCAACTTGTTACCAGATCCAGGCCAGACCTCCTTGCTATGTGGGTTATTGGTTCACAGCAATTACTTGTACATGTGGTGGCCTTCATGTTAAACTTTAGTGCTGTTTAATATGAGCAGCCAGTGCAACACATATTTGGTAAAATAAATGCAATACTAGGTTAAACTTGTTTACTACTCCATTAATGGACTCCTGAATATAGGTAAGCAGCTGATGAAAAAGATGTTAATATTCTGGTAAATATGCTAGGGCAGGGAGAAAAGGCAGAGAAGGTCTTCATTTCTGCACATTTCCAGTGATTGAGCGAAATGATATAACACAATTTGTGAGCATCCATTTGGGTAATAGTTTCAAAGTTTGACACAAACCAAAACCATAGCATGACAATCTGAAATAACAAGAGGAAGCATTTCACAATTCTGGACAGAGGTTGCAATGGAAGTGCGACATTCTAAAACATAACACCTAAATGCTTCAATTTTTCAACTTTTTCTCTCCAACTTATTGCAAATTGCAAAACGTTTCTACAGAAAGATGATAAATATATTTCCAGGCAATGTGTCATTATTGCATGTTATCTTGAGTCATGATCGTTTCTCTTCATGATCAGCCGCAGTAAAGTTGAGCATTGAATTCTGCATCACGACCTTCATGTTTATTTACGAACATGTTTTTCAGTCTAAGATCATTGTAAAAGCAGCGTTTGTCAGGAAAATCAGTTGTTGATTTACAGAATTATGGCATTTTGGTTTTGTGTTTTACAAAGACCCATAAATTAAATTACTAATTATATTATTTTCCCATTATCAACTCATACTTTCAGGTTAAAACTGGCAACAGATTTCCATTAAGATTCTTAATGATGCAAAAAATTTCCGCACGAGCATGAATGAAGCCACCCACTTAATTAGTTTGCTGAAACCCACTGCTATAAGAAAATGGTAGCATACTATTCTTAACCTTAAAAACTGATATTAGCTTTGCACACCCCCTGTTGGATGAAATCGCTTCCAAAAGATATTTCTACATATGACAGTTTTGCGAGACTTATTTTTTCCACTTTTCTCACTAGTATCATGCAAAGCAGCATGCTCCCACGTGTGTGTCCTATTATATGGATAAACTCCTTCATGTAATTAACAGGGTACTACAAAATGACGCTGTTTTTGTTTTGTGTTTTTCTAAATTTACACCTAGTTAAGTTCATTTAAGTTAGGCTATGCTATGTAAAGGCTTTCATGAGGCTCTCACAGTTCATGTCCATGATCCCATTACAGCGTCGCTTTGGGGGCAGTGCCCTGTATATGTAGTGCTTCAGGGGGCGGGGGTCACTGATGGCCAATTCAAACAACCCCCAGAACATAGATATCACCGTTTTTCAGCTGCCAGGGAATTGGTAAACTGGTCTGACCGGTGTGCATGCAGCTGCCCAGGGCTTTAGCTTTGAGAAAAGATAATAATAATTAAAAAATAAACATTCCACGTTGTTTCAAGGTCCAATCCCACGACACAGTACACACAGGAAATATCTATAAATTATCTATAAGAGATTCAGTACCTCACGTTATTTTGAGCAGGCGTTTTAAAGATGGTTTACAGATGAATGAGAGTGGAGGAGGGAGTTCAGCCACCGCACAAAAAAACCTCCAAAAAACACACCCACGCACACTTGTTTAAACCCTTAAACCAAACGCGGCAGGCGGTCAGTCGCACATGTAAACTCCGAAAAGTGGCAAATGAGAGTGACAAGCGAGAGAGAAAGTGAATTAAAAAAAATGTTTACCTTTAGAGTACAAGGATCTGGGTGAATTCAGGTCGAGGTCCCCGCTGAAAAGGGAGATAAAGTCAGAGGGCATTGCAATCCCTCAGTGTGAGGAAACCGGACACCGTCAAACACAGCGTCGCTAAAACGTTTGATTGTTTCTCCGAACAGAAAGCCCCCAAACTTT